CCCCAAAACCCCAAAACCCCAAAACCCCAAAACCCCATATGAAGAAAAATCTCTTGAATAATAAAAATGGTTGATTTTGCCAAAAATACAACTAAATTATTTGTTCATGAAGCATATTATTTAGAAGTTGGCTTGGCAAAGGTCATCATCATATTATCATTAGAGGCATTGCTCGAGGTAGACTTTGTCTTATGCATTCATCTGTTCGCATTAAAATGATCCTCATCTTCATCGTCTTCTTGGTACTCTTCCAATTTGATCAAGCAATCATCAATATACTGCTTTTGTTGGCCCATCAAGCCAGTGCATATTAATTCATTGAAGAACTCCTTTGTTCCGTTCTTGAGAAGATCTATTTCAAAATTAATTTTTCCTTCGCTGTCTTCTAAAGTATTTTCAATCGAAAATTTTTCGTTCTCGTAATCATGTGCAGCTGATTGTGAGTTGCCTCCTTTCATCTCTTCATTTATAAATCTAAGACGCTCCTTTTTCTCCTTCCTCCTCTTGAATAAGTCTAACACTGAGTCGATCCAGACGAGGTGGGACTCAACTTGGAAGAAGTATTTCTCTTCAATGTCTGTGCTGTTGGTGCTAGCAAATCCTTGGATATTCCCCTCAATAACTTGATAGAGTTTGAAGGCTTCATTATCTTTGAACTGCTCTGTACTGAGCTGCTTGGATATTATAGAAATATATTCATGTCAGTTCTCAGCCTCTTTGGCTTTATTTTGCTGTCACTTTACAATGTATTTATTTGAGCTCTTCTACTGTATTTCTGAGGGTTTGAAAGACCTTTTCAATGCAATCAAGTTTTTCTGAGCTTGCTATTTCATCAGAGTTTGCACCATATCTAGAGATTTGTTAAATAAGATTGTACATTGACTTCACGAGCTCTTTGCTAGTACTGGCTACAGTTGAAGCAAGAGAATTTGCTGCTGATTTGAAAGAATCTGGTAAATTTGATAGAATCCCACTGCCTGTGCCTAAAATGTTAAAATTAGGTGAAACTCTAAAACTAGGTGTAGCAGTATGCTTAACTTTCAACAAGCAACTTGGCTGTAATTTAGAATAATCTGTCATATCATTCTAAAGTTATATATCTCGAAATTTTGAAGAAAATCTCTTTAGAGTTATTTATTTTGAAGAATTAATCTGATTTTTATCCAATAATAAAGGATTTCATAATTTTCAAGACATATTGGTAATAAATTGAGCTTGAGGAAGCTTAGTTCCAACGAATTCAGAAGATGTGAAGTCTTATTACATAAGAGGGTACACTCTTTATCCATTGTTTACCTCAGTGTGGAATAAAGTAAAAATAAGCAAATAATTATGTCCAATAGATTACCCCATTCTTGTCTCGAAGATCAGTGAAAATAGTACCAAAGGAAGTTAAAATTTGTAATCAAGGCTCACTACGCTAACTGAGTCTAGCATTATGTGGATACAAGAGTACTAGGACAAAGAAAAATACTTTAGTAGAAAATTGCCCAGCTTGAAAGTAAAACTATCATGCCATACAAGTAGAAAGGATGTTCAGCAAATAATTTTGCTGGAAGAAATATTTATTAGTTTTCTTAAATTCCTTCTTTAAGACAGAATATCATATGAAAAGCAAGCATTCCTAGCCAATTTAGTTATACTAAATATCAAATAGACACTGATGAACTGATAAGCCAATATTATAGAACTTCTTACCTTCAGCGTTATTTTTCTTCTTCTTTTCCTCATCTTTTAGTTGGGTGAGCTTGGCTCTATGTTCTTCAAACTATAGACAATCACCAATTAGGAAACAGATAGTGAAATTCTTAACAATTGTCGCAAATATTTTATTCAAGCCTAAAAGATTTTTAGCCTCTAACTCTCAATCACAGACTTTATATTTCAGTGGTTAGAGTTTGGTTGCCCAAAGGACTAGAAGAGGTACTGATGGCAGATGGATGCATGCTAGCATACATCCTAATGTATTTCCCTCAATAGACTTGAACACAAAAGTTGAAAAGAGGACTTTAATGCCAAAATTGAGGTATATTAATATATATTCAGATACATTCCTCAGTTGAAAGAGAAGAAATTCGACATTGGTGCTAAAAGATTTAGAAATGCTCTGAATAGAACTCGAAGAGGCGTCACTGCTCAAACACCTTTGTTAATACTATTTGAAACTTACCTCCTTTTGTTGGGTGAGAAAGAGTCTGACTTCATCAGATTCTGAAAAAGAAGAGTGTGAAGCCAACAAACTGAGGAAATATTTGAAGCATCTGACTCTCTCTCTAATAAGCTCAGAACTTGTTGCTGAGTAAGTAGCCCACATACTTTTGGCTGGCAAGATAATTACAGCATTATTGGGGAAAATATCAAGAAGCCTTTCACGCAAAAACTCGAAGTCACTATATCTGCGATACACAAAGGTAGCTTTGTTTTCCTCTCCTTCCCATTCAGTGTGGATTTCATAGGTATAATAGCTTGGTAGGCCAATTGTGCTTTTTACTCAGTTGTAGGGTCTGACAGAAAAGCTCTTAACAGCTGGATTTTCTTTAGCATCATCTACCTTCATATAATGTGTGTTTTCAGGTTTTCTTGGTTCATTTGAAGCATCTTGGTTGTCGTCACTTTCATCAGCATAAAAATCGTTGCCATCTGCCTGGGTATCTTCTTTTGGCTTCTCTGATTTTATTACCTGAGAGACTTGTGGCATCTTTATGGGTGGTCTTGTCAATCAACTAGATGCCAGCATCGACTTGTTTAAATTAACTTTTGTTTTTGATGAAGCTTCATCTTCTTCACAGTCTAAATCTTCAAAACTAGCATCACTATCAAGGTCTTTCCAGTTTTTGTCTTTACTCATTTGGGTTTATTAAATAAATAATATGTAAATTTTTTAGCAAATTGTGCTCTAAAGGGGTTTTGGGGTTTTGGGGTTTTGGGGTTTTGGGGTTTTGGGG